CTCCCCCCCCCTTTGGTGTCGCAGGATACCGGCCTCGGCCCCTCCCCTTTGGTAGCGCAGGAGGCCGGCCTCGGCCCCTCCCCCCCTGGTAGCGCAGGACGACGCCCGTTAAGTTTGAGGAATAAGGACTAAGAGGAATTTAGCACTCGGGGACGACGAGGGGATGTGTAGAGAGAAAGGGAGAGAGAAAGAGGGGGAGGGCGGCCGTAGACACAGCCACGCCGGGGCGGTGTCCTGTCCACCTATTTATCTCCCCGGCCATAGGATGCCCGCGCGCACAGCTGTACGGGGCGGGCGAGCAGGCAGGCGGAGGGGCCGCAGCAGGAGAGAGGTAAGGGGTTTGGGGGGCATCCTTATTTGTCCTGGACCTGGGCGGACGGGCAATCTCGGGAAATGAAGGCGGCCATGGCCGGGGCTGATAACGATGGGGGATTGCTTCCCAACGCGATTTCGGGCGGCGTGCACGTCCGTCCCCGTCGGCGGCGGCGTTGGGCGGCCATCGCCCGGCCATCGCCCGGCGGCCGCCTCCATCGCCGACGGCGACCGCCGCTTGTTACATGAATGCCCCGCATTGCGCAAGCAATGGCTCACACTGTGGGGAATGCCTCCCCCTCCCCAGCCGTTTGGCCGCACGCATGGAATGGAGCCGTTTCAATGGCCATGCTAACGTTGCCATGCTGCTGCTGCTGCTGGCCCCACCATGGGCGCGCCGTCATGGGGCCCGGGCCCGGCGGTCAGCCCCGACCGCACCCAGGCTCGTGGACTAGTGGGCGAGCGCTTGCAGCCATTGTCCACGCCCCGCCAACGGCGCGACTCAGCGCGACGGTCGTCAAGCGCGGGGGGGCTGAGGGATGTGACAGCGGGCGGCGCTCATCATGGAGTCCCCGCCAACAACAACAACAACAACAACAAAAGTGGAGGCGAGGCTGCCCCACGATCGCGTGTGCCCGGTAAACAGGATCCGCAGAGCTGCTGGCGGGGAGGGGCGCGCTGTGGCCACGGCCGGCACACAGTTGGTCGTTAACGACCCTCTCCGCCTGCCCGCCACGTAGAATCACGAGGGACACACAGAGACAGTTTGCGCGCGGCGAGGTGTTTTCCTCTCATCATCGGGGCTGATACGCCTCGGGCCGCTCTCATGGATCATGAAAAATTCAGATGGCGGTGAGAGTGGAGCGTGGGGCGGCGGCGGCCGCCACGGTGCGGGACGGCGTTATGGCAAATTGCGTTAGCGGTTCTCGCTGTGTACGCTGGGGGAACATCTGGTGCCACGGCGCGGCGGGGGGAGGGGACCACGGCAAGGAATCCACCCCCTGCAGCCCTTATAGGCCCTTCCAGGCCTCTGCCCAGCCCCGGCCGGGGCCCGGGCCGTAATGGCACCCCGTGGCCGTGAGGGGCTGTTCATAAACCCCACACCTGGCGGACAGCCGGGCAGACGGACGGGTTGGGGGGGGGGGAGAAACTGCCTCCCACCCTCTCCTCCTCGGGGCAGCGGCCCCAAAGACCCCAGCGACGCAGCGACGCGGTCGACTGTTGAGGACTTTGAGAGGGCCGTAGGCCTTGGGGACCGGGGGACCCCGCGGAGCAAATGAATGGAGCCAAACGAAGGCACCGGGGCAGAGACGGCGGGGCCAAGACGTGCTGCAGAGAACACACGGTTTGTCTGTTTTTTGTTTCTTTGTGAATAAGTCGAAAGGCAGTAGGCCATACAGACGAGATGAGGTATGTGCAAAAGAAAGTTCGTATGCATAAAACGAAGGCATTTTTTAGTCCATTGGGCGGTGAAATAAAATGAGAACGCCTTAGCGGAAGATTAAGCGAAAAAAGGAAGGGATGTCTCGGAAAAGTACGAGAATGCTTTATTATTGAATAATCGGCAACAGCAACTGAATAATATTACTACTTATTGGTGTTTAAAGCGAAGTGTGAATATATCCGAAGTTTTGCAGCCCGTACCAACAGAAGCGCTTGCGCAAGTGAATTTAGGACGAGCTAGGGGTGGGCCGAGGCAGTGTACAGCCCGCGCTGCCGCCAGGGGCCGCCGGTTACGGCTCTAACTAGATCGGCGGGGCAGAGTCGGAATGTGACGTCGCTCCCCGCCGCGCCTGGCCACGCCCCGTTACGGTCCGCCAGCCGTACTCCAAAGCCCCTGCCGTGTAACACGCTCCAAAGTATTTAGCCGGCGACCGAGGTCGGGGCGCCGAGCTTAACGATCATAGACCTTAATCCACTTGGGGGTTTCATTGTGCGCGGCACATCGGATGCGACAGGCAGCGTGGGACGGGCGCGCCTGCGGCCACCGCTATCACAAGGCGCCGTCTGTCGAGATTGAGGGAGGGACAACTTGGAGAGTCACAGTTTTATATATTCCCGTCTGTTTCAATGCGTGCCATATTTTTAGATGGGGTCATATCATCCCGACTGACGTTAATTTTACAAACTTTCACTAAGCACTCACAAGCTGTCACTACTCCTGGTTTTCCAGGAAAGAGGCCATGTCCGCAATCATGGTATCGTACAGTAGTATTGGAGCTTTAGGGTTCAGTACGTAATCAAGGTGGCCAAATGTATTTTCTGGGACTTGATAGACTTTCTTTACGTCCTTCAGTGAGGTGGTCAGGAAAGCTAGGTCCTACAATAAAAAAATAAAACAAACTTAAAACAATAAAAAATAACATTGAGGTGGGATCTTTCATTGGACAGGTGTGTCTCTCACTTCTGGTGAAACGTAGATATCGGTTCTCCCGGTGTAAAGATACGCAGGGACGCTGGTGTTTGATAAACTGTAGTCAGGAGGTACGCTTTGTCCGTATAGCTGGCGATTTTTGGCGGCTCCGTGATTAAACTGTCGAAAGCCAGGCCCTGTAAAGCCAATGAACACCATTGTATTAGTATTATAACATAGAAGCAGTGGAAGCAGAAACACGGGTGGCGGTGCCGTAGACTTACAGTTTCGATTGGCTTGCTGGATGTAGTGCAATAACTCCAGCATTGACACGCCCGACGGGACGTAATATTGGAAATATGCTGGATAAACCTGCCGAATAAAGACAAGGCAAATTTTCATTGAATTTCCTGGTTTTTCAAAAATGTCCCAGTCTTTGCGTGACTTTACGATGTGGCTTATCGATAAAAAGCCGTGATTAAACAAAGTGTATACCAACCAAGTTGCCACCGCCAGCAGTCAGCTCACCAAGTATTGCAAAAGCTAAACAATGCGAGGGATCTTCCGGAGGCACAAAAGTCCGACAGAATAAACCACCTAAAAACCGAAGCAAGCTGTTAGAACCCGGGAGCATGTGTGGGCCGAACGCAGTCTCAAAGTCCTACAAAATAAAAAAATGGTTTTGTTATAAGCATTCGAAACGTTTTCGCTAAAGAAACAAAATTAAAGATGATCTAAACGCCGCCGTCCTACGCACAAGTGTGACATTCTCGAAGGGGTGGAGCACGTCTAGCATCGGGCTTCGGTGGTGCGCCAGCGATGCGACGGGCCCCATCAGGAAAACGGCGCTGATGCGCTGCTCGTAGTCGGGCCGGAGCGCCGCCGTTATGAACCAGGACGTGGCCCCCATAGAGTGGCCAGAATACAACAGGGACGGCTTTCCCGTGGCGGCTAGCACGTAGTCCACCATAGCGGGAATATCTATCACACCGTGCTCGTGTAAACTGCAGGAAAACAAAGGAGTGAGAGGGGACAAGAACAAGTGAACTCAATTGCATAAAACAATGAAAATGTTAAATGCTACCTGTAATTCCAGAACTGCCGATCTAATATTGTATAATTTGTGTGATTTTTTGAGAGACCGCTTCCTCTGAAATTTCCTAGCCAGACGTCATACCCCTCGTTGTATAATTTGAAAGCTAAAACAAAAGTAGTTACAGATTTAGATTTAGTTACAGATATAGAATAAGTTGACTAGCCAGCTTCACACCGATTCTTTTCAGATATATTTCTGTACCAAGCGATTCGTTCTGCAGTCCCACAAAACAGGCTGAATTGCAAAACAGCGGATTACCAACAAGGACGACAGGTGCTTGAGGCCGAGGGATGCGATCAATGCGTAGAATGTACCCATCCTCAGTAACGGTATGGTGCGCCTCAGCGGGGTAACCATACTTGTTTATAAGGTCGGTCTGGAATAATAAGTTAGAAACACATCTTAATGTTACTTTTGACGTTGTTTGTTTATCTCATTCAAGAGGTAGCAGTTGATTTTCTCGATTCTTTACGAGCTTTTAAGTCATTTGTGTTACATAAAATACCTACTTGTTCTTTCTGTTATACTTACAGTCGGTCGCACCTCCTCCACTCTCATAGCGGCACTTACAAACAAGTCTGCGAAGTTTTGACCATTCACAACTACCTAGAAAACCAAAGGGTGTTTTAATGTATCAACAAATTTTCTCACTAAAAAAGAAAACTATGCATCTAGAAATATTTTTCCTACACTGCGAACTCACTGGCTTCAGTCGGAAAACTTACCCCGTTTCCAACGATTACGAGTATTAACTGCGTGAGGAGATTGCGGGACATACTGTTTTCTGTTTTATATAGTACTGAATCGAATTACAACAAGGCAAACGGCTGTGCTTATGCCAAATCCGTGCCCCTGTTTGGCTGCATGATGAGTCAAGTCTTTTCTTTGATACTAGCAAGAGAGCTGCGATGTGGAAAGTATTTTGCGTAACGTGTCTTCCTGCGACTGGTGGAGAGCAACTGACTAGTCTTCCTAAGCACCCGTCTAACAAGCTATAGCGAGCCGGCAGACTTGGAAGCCACAGACAACGGTGCCCCCTCCACGTATATTTGAACCACTATCTTATGACGTCACCTTTCACTTTCGCCGCGCTTAGCTTTATCTGGCACTGCTGACTATACCACTTACCTAGTAGCTGCCTCAAACCGGGTAATTACTTGTTCCACAGCAATGAGTAAATGTCATTCTCAATTCTCACCTAAGTCAGCAAGTGTGAAACACACAATGTGTCCGAATGTTTGTAACTCATTTTTAGCTGAGAAGTTCAAACTTCACTTCGTAATCTAGCGTACAATTTTAGTTGTATAAGTCACGAGTCGAATATACCTTAATGCCTCCAAAATGGCTGACTGTTGCAGCTGTTGCGAGTTGCGGGTTCTGAGCACGTAATGCCCGTTACAGTTCGCACTTCTCGAGTTTTGTTGGTTTTCTTGTGAGAGTGTAAGGCATGCAGTTAAAGTTGGCGAGTGCAACACATTTTCTATCGACGCCCAAAGTAGAACCTGTCCAGCAGGTCTGGATAAGGCCGTGAGTGCAGGTGCATGTATATATTAGCGCACGGTGCACCCCCCCCCCCTCCATACTCCAACTCCTCTCGCTTCTCCCTCCTACCGTTTCAGCCCAAATGTGTCAGACATAGTGTGTGTGCTTCAACTAGGTTACCCTATCAACTTAAAATTGAGGCTCATGGAGTTGAAGACGTTTTACACGATCCGTTTTAATTTAACAATAAAGTACAGTATGTGTGTTTGCTGAGGGAGGAAATTCGAGAAAATCTGGGGTAATCCGCGAAAAGTTAATGGTAATCCGGCGTAATCCCAGAGAAAAAGCAACGTAATCCGGAGGATACTCTAGAGGTAATCCGGGTACCCTGTAATCCGACTGACACAAAGTTTAACGGTCGTTTCCCCGGCGGGATTTGTAGCTCATGCTTTGCGTCGCATATTGTGCACGTGCTACAATCCGAAAAGGGGAAATGACCTCGTTAGTTTTATTTTCCATTCCATTCCAGACAGCGACCCTCGGAGCGCGCCATGACCATGATTTGGTCGACTCGGTCTGCAATGGGACGTAAACAGCTGTTCGGTCCATCTCGGGAGGGGGAGGAGGAGGAGGGTAACAACAGTACTTGCCCTAATCCGGGTGGGGCTCCCTTTTGCCCGGAGAGGAGAGGGGGGTGGTAATGGGGCGTTAGTGACTGCAAAAACCTCTTCCCGAGCCAGCTACAGTATACCTCGTTGCACTTTGTTTACCAAAACAAGCGTACCTTCAAGTCCTCCCTCCACCCCTCCGACCCCTCGGTGCAGCTGAAGGATGTCGTTTTCCTATACATTATATTTTACTCAGGCTTTTGTACGCGAGCAGAGAAACGCCCACTCGTGCCCTTGTTCTGTTTTTTTTTTGTTTTTTTTTTTTTAAAAAAGAAGCGGCTTTTGTTGCCTTTGGAAAGGACGGCGTTCACCCGTGGGCCGGGTCCGGTGCAGGTGGTTTCGTTGCAGTCGCTCCTTTTTACGTTAGTGATCGCATTCAAGAAGAAGGTGGAAAAAGGCACGTGAGCAACTTAAAGCCAAAGAAGATAATACTCCTTTCTTGGTTTTAAGTTTAAGTATTAGTAATCCGAACAGATAGCCGAAAGCCGTCTTTATGTTTTGCTAATCACCTAATCCAGGGGCTACGCTACACTATTATTTTCTATCGCCTGTTCTTGAGAGCAAAAGAACAGAACAGACTGGTTTGGCGAGCGTTCTCATTGGCCGAAAGAAAATATCTGAGACCCATGTTAATTTTTCCCTTCCCTTTCACACCCTTTTTAAAGCAGTGCCATAAACAGTATGTCAGACACCCCACCGAGATAAGCTTCTGGCAATGAAGCGTTCTTTGACCGAGTTGGTACAAAGGGGGGAAAAAGCAGGAAATGGGTTCGCAGGGCTGGCAGGAGAGCAGGAGGGGCTGCTGGCCGACCGTATAAGAAACTCATTGTTCTTTTATCCGCCCTGAGCCCCCTTTCCCCCTCTACCGATGTCCTCACGCTAGCCAGCCTCCGCGCGTGCAGTTTTCCTCGGAATGTAATTTCTCCGAGGGAAAAGTTTTGTTGGTAAAAAGTACGCGAGTTGAGGCGCGGTGCGATGTTCGTTGCGGTGAGGCTCAACTCGACTAACAGCATGAGTATGATTTCTGCATGACACGGTTGCTTCAAGTTTTCAACTCGGGAAATCGTTACTTTGCGCCATGTTACGCCTAACCTCGATTGAAATTACAGAGCGCAAAGGGTGGCACAGTGTTTATTATGAAAATGAAGTTTTTCTTTTATTCATTTCGCGGAAAACGGCAGGATGAAGACGTGGACTAGATGCTCGTTAACTGATGACTATAACGTCATTATCAACATTATATTGCCGCGAGCGAGGTGGGTAACGACATCAGTCATCTGTTAACGAGCCACTCCGTTCCACGTCATCAATTTGGCTTCTTTGTCGGTCTGGCTGCTCTGCTGCTGCTGCTTAGGGGGCTGTGGCGGCGCAGAGGGGGGTGAGATAAGGGTGGGGAGCCCCGGCTGACTCGCGGGTGAGGATCTGTGACTGAAGACGGTGTCTCTTGGGGGGCGCGCCGCCCCCGCCTCTTCCTAAGTTCAAAGTCGCTTGCTCAATCGAAGACCCAGCCTGGGCCTTGGGGGCAGCGCCAAAAGTTGGCACTACTGTCTCACTCTATCCCCCTCGGCGCCGTGCATTCTGATGAGAGCGGGATTCAAAACTAGGCCGAGTGGCGCGGCGGCAGTCTTAACGTGGACGCAATCTCGGGCCGGGAATCACAAGGAGGCACTGATCCTCCCCTCAGCCGAGTGGTCCTCGATACAGCAGGGGATGGAGGCTCCCAGCCGGGGCGTCGCAAGGATTCCCATCACTGGTCCGATTGCCTGAAAGGGGGAAAGGGGTTCGGGCCGGGCCGCCGGGCCGCACAGCTACCGGGTCGGTGAGCCGGACGTACAGCCCGCACAGCCTCCCAAACCAAACCACACGGATCAATAGAGCAGCATTACAGACCCCAGATTGGCAGCCGTATCTTCGTTTTCCCAGCTGCAGGTTTATCTAACGGAACAGAAAATGGTAAACAGTCACCGAATTGCTATCCAGAAAATTGTGGGAATTCAATTGCCGACCTGAAGTAGCAAGGCGCACACTTTTAAGTGTTCAATTTTAAACGCATTTTAATATTCAAATGACCAGTCAAACAAAAGAAAGTGTGTAACAAGTTGAGCACTTGCATGTGCACGTTATTGTTAACTTTATTTATCAGTGTAAGCCAATACATGCGCGAAAAGTAAATTTCTGTCATTGTAGCCGCCATTAGGAGTCACAAAAATTGTGTCTGCGGCTAACTGCTATCCCTCCGGCTACCAAGTAGTGCCCCGACTTCTCTAAGGTGTGGGATAAGTTTGCCCAGATTTACTGTCGCAAAAGAAAGATAACGAGCAAGAGTTCCCGAGGCGCCCCCAGTTGAAACCCGACACCATTTTGGCCGCAGCCTACAGAGGAGCGACTTCGAGAGCTCGCCAAGAACTTGCAACGCAACTAGGTGTCGCTTTCTCGCTGTTGCATGGCCGCTGCAAGACCGCGCTAGTAATTTAATACGTGCAAGGCGTCCTGCACACGCACACACACACACCTCACTTCTTGGATCTTGCAGACCCCCTAAATAATCTCCCACACGAACTGTATTGTGTTGCCATAAATTGTTCGTCCTAGCGTTATCAACAGGCAACGCTAAACAAACGTTGTCTTGACGTTCCTTTGAAAACAGTTTCAACAACCAACAACAGTTGGTGCAACAGAGTATAAAAAATCAGGGTACAACTTACTTCTGCCTGCAAAACAGTACTGAGAGTTTGCATTCTTTCTGACTTTATTCGTCGGGGCCACAGCGCACGGCGCACTTAGGTAATGACACCAACCGGGACACCGCAGTTGACTCGGTAGCGAAGCGGTGGAGTTGGTGCGGCGTCGGGACAGCATCGTTGTTGGGCGCAGGACAGCCACAGAGTGCTCCTGGAGTGCTTTCCTTTCGCGAGACGGGAGACGAGGGAGTGGGGACACGGGACACGGTACGAGAGGTGGGTGGGGGAAAGCGGGTAGAAGCCGCGTGTCGGCCGCGTGTCAAAATGTAGGGGCGCTGACTGACACCGTGATATCATCAGGTAAACAAAACGTAGCGCACACGCGAACCCCACGACCGACATATTGCCCTCCCGCCATCGCGCTCTCCACATCAAGAAGTCGTTGGAGCAAAGCCCCCGCGTTTTATATTTGTCTTTCATGTCACACACCGCAGCCTGCCTGCACGTCGCGTCGTTCGCACGAGTTTTTTTTTTTCTCTCTCTCGCTATTTGGCACTCGACGGCATCCTTGCAACTGGCGATGGCGCGGCGTAGCGTCGAGTCATGATCCAGGGTCTGGCCGCGCTGGGGTGCGCCGGCTGCGGTGAATATGGGGCGGCGGGTGCGCCGCGCGGGCTCCACTGAACGCAAAAGGGTCGCCGAGCCATATGAAACGCACAGATCGGTCTATAAGTATCCTGCTAAATTGTTCCTCTCCATTCAGAGTGTATATGGCTGACAGGGTGTAGTGATCCTCTAGAATGTCCAATACACGGACAAAGCGAGAGGAGTGTCGTGTCGATGCGTCCTCAACGTGCCCTCAAGGCCCCGACAGTCTTGACGCGAAACCAGGACGGGGAGCGGGGAAACCTTCGCCTCCGCATATGAGACCACGTTATGCCCCTGCACGGCCCGAGCGCGTGGGGCAAAGCAGCCTGCGCCATCCATCTCTGTCCGACAGCTGATCAGTCTCTGTCCTTGTCCCGCGCTCTCCGGGGAATCAGTCCCGCCTTAAGGAGGCTGCTTTCCACCAGCGCCGCAGTGAGCCGGCGACAAGCCCACACCGCTTGTTTCTCTCTTCTCCTGTCGAGGGTTATATCTATCACACACTGACTTTTTGACGCCCTTTGCCGACAGGTGCTGATGCTGCGTGACGAGGGGCCGGCCAACATGTGAAACTCGACCTCGCACCCGGAACGCAGCCCCAGCGCCACCATGCTGCCCACCAACGTCATGTCCTTCATGAAGAAGGTGAGTCGCTTTCGCACGCTTATCCACCCCGGTCACGTCGGCGACTCCAATCCCCCCCCTTTCCCCCACTTTTTACGATGGCGCACACGCGCGGTAATGGCGGGGCCCATTGTTCCCGCCTTATTATCACTTAGGACCCTCGGGGCGCCACTAACGGATTTACTTGTCGCCGCCTAAGCCCTCCGCTCTCTCGCCGCTCGGGGATTGTTCCTTGCCGCACGCGCGGTTGTCAACATTGCTATGCATGGTGATGAAATTTCCGCCGCCCGCTCACGAGAAACAAGGAGTTGATCCCCCTTCGGTTGACTGTCCCCCCCAATTAAGGCACTGATGATGGGGACGGATGACGACCCCTTCAGACAAACGGAACGAAATAAGGGGGGGGCCGGAGAAAGAAATCGGACGTCCCTTCAATGAAGTCTCTCTACCAAGATTTGGCGCCTTTCCCCCGTGCCGACCGTGTCATCGCCAGGGTCGCTCCACCTCGAAAACTTTATTCAATGGCACAATTAAAACGGTCGAATTAAGATTATTCGCCCGGAGGAGTCCTTTCCATTTCTTAAAGGGAGGCGGGAGCAGCCTCTGCAAAAGCTAATCTCCAACTCCAGCGATTTTATTTCCGCTTATCTTATCGTCCCTTTTCCCGGGCCTTTTATCTCTCCCTTTCGGCCGCTATCCACACCACACCCTCTTTCGTCCCATTCGACTCGGTGGACCACGGCGTAGAGAGGGTGAGGGTACTACTCAGTTATTGAGGCCAAGCAACTAACTCAACAAAGAATTGGTTTGTTTCGCTCCACCGTGTCGATTGCCGTGCGGCACTAAACGTGTCACACCTACTTTTCTTTTTCGGGGACTTAAGAGGCACTGCCCCCCCCCCTTTTCCTCTTGCATCAATGATGTCGGTGGTTACAAAGCGAACAGGCCGGAGTGCAGTTAGCGCCGCCCTGATCTCGCTAACGGGCCGGGCCTATAGGTGGGCGCGGTCCATTTACGAGATCGATGGGACGAGAGGGGTTTCGGGTAGGAGTGCGTGCAAGGGCGAAAGGAGAAAGAGAGACTGGGTTAGCGAGAGGGAGATAAATGGGGGGAGGTGCAGGGGAGAAAGAGACAAAGCGGGCGGGGGCGGATGACAGTATTGGGCACGGAACGGCGAAAGGGGAACGCATTGCGGTGCATTATTAACCATCCGTGTGGCGCTGCATTCTTATCCGGGCGTCAACGTGGCGTGGGGGGCCCGGCGGCCAGCTGCTTGCAAACCCGCTGCAAACTCATTTTGGAATTCAAACACCTTAGAAATGACGTAAGATAAGTAAAATTTGTTACATTTTTTCATTTCACAGACTTAGCAAGTCAATTACAAACCACATCAAGCTCCAAAAAACAATTGTCTACAAATTTAACAGACAACTTACAAACATAAACTAAATTTCCTACGGTCCAAACAAAATCTTATTACAAATTTGACAAACAGTATTTTTGTCTATCTCCGAGAGGCTGCGAAGATGGTTGCGCAGATTCCTAATGAACAAGAATGACTTCTTACTCAAAGAACGGCTTCTCTCCCGAGTGCATACGGAGATGTCGACGTAGACTACTTTCTACTGAAAATTTCTTGTCGCACAAAGAACATCCGAATGGCTTCTCCCCCGTGTGCGTGCGGAGATGTTCACGCAGATGTACCTCTCGTGAAAA